AATTCCCCCAGCTGTAAGCCTTCCAACCTTCTAAATATTCCTTTATATGTGGTTCAGAGTTCTGGGACCATCCCCTGAGCCTGCTTGGTTGGGTATTCTATGTTGTTGTTGGTGAAGCTCCTTACTGCATTTCCACCCAATCCGCCATCTTGTTTGTTCTCTAGTGACATAGCTTTCTGCATCACAGCAATATGTAAGCTAACACAGTGTGACAAACTGACAGACGAGTGGAGCTCATTATTAGGAAGCCATTATTCTACCTTCCACAGATATCCAAAACTGCTAGGTGAAATGGTTAACAGAATTTACATAGCTGAAATTCTAGCATTTTGATTGAGTTTTGGTGTCTGTCTGTTACTATTTATAACTTCCGTCAATTCCGACTCATTGCAACCCTGTATAGGGTTCCTGAGGAATTGCTCGTGGGTTGGAACTGCCAACTTTATGGTTAGTAATCCAGTGCTTATCCTACACCACCACACCAGACCCGTTTTAGTGCCTATACTTGGCCTTGTATCCTAAAGCATGATTAAAATTTAACTTTTTTTGTTCATAGTGTATTATTTTTCCTCTCAGGCTATATTCCCAAAGCATGGATTAGCACTGCTATGGACCTTCGCAAAGATACGTAAGTGACACATGAAAAAAAATCTAGTTCTAACTGCTTATAACCTTTTGGGTGTTAGCAATTTTCCAATTGTTTTGTTCAGATTTAGCCTTTTAAAAAATTATATTCATTTTTAATAAGTGAAATATTCAGATGCTTTAAAATTCAAAAGACGTACAAAAGGCTACACAACAGAAGACTCTGTTTCCAGTCATTCAGTTCTTCTAGATAATAGATTTTGCATTATACAAAATTGGACTTCCTGAGTTGCATGGGCTGTGTGTTTATATTGTTTTTCTATCTAGTTGTCATTCTTTGCTTTTGTAATAGACGGCCATGGCCATAATGGTATGGTGTTATTCTAATTTTGCAAATGAGGAAATAAAAATTGAGCAAGGTCAAGTGACCAGTTGAAGGTCACAAGTGGCAGTTGAGTGATAGCACTGGGGTGTATTGTTCTATTTATCTCCTATATACACTTTTAAAGGAGCTCTGGTAGCGTAGTGGTTACGAATCGGGCTGCGAACC